CATACATACCCTTCGGCAAATTGTACAGAAGACCGAAGAGTACAATCTGCCACTTTGTCTTGCGTATGTGCACTATGAGAAAGCCTTTGATTCCGTCGAAATTTGGGCGGTGCTGCAGTCCATTCAACGGTGCCAAGTGGACTGTCGGTATACCGAAGTGCTGAAGTGTTTGTACAGTAGGCCTACGATGGCTATCCGTGTACGGAACCAGAGTACGAAACATATCCAACTGCAGAGAGGTGTAAGACAGGGTGACGTTATATCCCCGAAACTCTTATGCAGCGGGCATTCGAAGACGTTTTCAAGCTGCTGGACTGGAAAGGATACGGTATTAACGTCAATGGCGAGTACATCACTCACCTTCGATTTGCCGATGATATAGTCCTTATGGCAGAATCGTTGAAGGACCTAAGCACTATGTTTAATAACCTCAATATTGTCTCCCAACGGATAGGTCTTAAGATGAACATGGACAAAACAAAAATCATGTTTAACGTCCATGTCACACCTATGCCGGTAGTTGTTGGGAGCACTAAAGCTCGAAGTTGTTGACGAATATGTTTACCTGGGACAAATAGTCTGACTTACCCAAGTCTAACTTCAGTCGAGAGGTCAATCGACGGATTCAACTCGACTGGGCAGTGTATAGGGAGCCCCTGCCCAGAGATAGGAACAGTATTCCATGTAGGGCCAATCCTGCGCCTTGTGTGTTTAAATGTAGTGGTTAATATACTCTTTGGTGATTATATTATCTTTGGTGGATAATATTAAATATTTTTTTTTGCATTTATAAGCAAGGAGTATATCACTTCGTTTTACAAGGAATATTTATTTGACATTTCAATAAACCTTGCTATAGATTGTGTATCTATATTTATTTTGAATTTAGCATTTGCTAAGCTACGTTACACCAAGATTACGGCAGTTATGAAAAATGTTTCCAAGTCACAGGATTTCATACGATGAAAAAGAGATGGAACATATTGACGGTGCTAAAAGAATGAGCACATCTCAACTGAATATTCAAAATGATAAAATAACCGAAGAGGTTAATATTGAAATATTTTCTTATACTTACATTAACTTCCTTATTCGTCATCATTGTTCTCCAGTGAATTCGACCATGCTGACAGGCTGCTCAAGTAATCCTCGAAATGTATTTCGAGCTGGATCTGAGTTGAGGAGCGGCGATGACAGAGGGATGGGGCGATAAATAATCCTTTTACGACTACGCGCGGCAATGTATAGTTTTTTAACTTATGTTTTGTTCTAAAATTATCACCTCAATTTTTGTGCCTGTATTTTACTGTTTGACACTTGTAGGGAGTAGAGGGGGAATGGGGGTGGAAAATTCACCCTAACCACTAACCCTTTCTTTGTTACCCTGGCACGTGTTCGTCAAGATTTTTTAATTAACTCTGTATAACCACAGCACACTTATACACAATACACACTTATAGGAGATAGGAGGTACCCTCGGTCCCGATCTGTGAATTTAATTAGCCTAGAACCAAGCCTATGATCTAATACTACTGCCTATTTTATTGCGTCTTTATCTGTATTGACTCATTAAAGTTATTGTGTTTTAGAATGATATAAACGATGAAGTTGATGTAAGAAGAACCGTAGAACCGTAAGTTTAATTTCTATTATTTTATAATTATCATTTAAATATTTGATTAATACGTAACACCACGAATAATAAAAAGAAGAGCCGTGTCAGCTCAGGGGCTCAGCGCTTTCTGTTTTACACAGTACGTGAGCAACCCAAGAGGTTTGATCCTCGCCGGCAACAATGAAATTGTTAGTTGCAATTTTAAGTGCTAATTTTCTACGTGCTCGGCGATAAAGGAAAACATCGTGAGGGTACTTGCATGACTGAGAAATTAAAAAATGTTTCGAAGACATGTGAAGTCCGCTAACCCGCTAATATATTGGAACAGCGCCTCGGATATTTCCTTGCCCTTAAACTCTCACAGAAATGAGAGGAGGTCTGTGCCCAACAGTTGAACGTATATAGACTGTAACTTTACTTTCCTACGAATAATGATGATCGTGTTGTGGAAAGGTGTAACTTCTTATGAACATGTACGTGGTAGAGCAATGTAGCTTATATTAAGGTTAACCGGGGAAGGATTACGCTCTTATGCCGGGGCCACACTAACGAGAAATGCCGTTAATTATCGCGTTGATGGACGTTGAATGTAGGTGTGGCCACGACTTAACGCGTTAATTTGACAACGGCATTAACAATACCGTTTACCGTTTGGCGATAACTCGAGTAGCGGTACATCAAATAGATTAACGCACGAAATAACGCGTTGAAGCGGCCACACTTTGTCTCACCTGAGCGCAACGGAGTCGCGCGTATGGCTATGGTGAAGTGGAATAATGAAAAAGTTATTACGTTTCTTGAGATTCTGCAAACAGAGCCATGTTTGTGGGACCCGAGACTCAAAAGTTTTAAAAATCGTACATCGCAAAATGACACTTGGCGACGAATTACGCAATTATTACCTTTTAAAACGACAATCGAAAAAATTAAAAAGAAGAAGGAAAGCCTAATGGGTTGTTATAGAAATAAAAAATATTTACTCATCAAATATAGAGTGGTACCGTCAACGTCCATCTTGCTTGAAATTCAAGGAACATTAACGCCAACTTTAACGCCGTTCAATGGCATTGAAATTGAAATGACGTCGGCCGTTCAAGTATAGCCACTCACTTTATCAGGTTGAAATTAAACCAATAATTGTTGCGTTTATGGGCATTGACGTTTCCCGTTACTGTGGCCCCAGCATTACAGAACATTAATGTAAAATAGCGGCTTAATGCTGCTGTGTTTCGTATGGCGTGGAAGAGAACCGGAGACCCCTTTTACTATATAACGAAGTATTCCATCTTAGTCCTCAGGGGTGACAGCGCATCTGCATTTTGATTCTTTGTATAGCATAGATATAGATGTCGATGGGCCACAGCATCCACTTACCATCAGGTGCTCTGTGTGCTCGTTTGTCACCTTTATTCTATAGAAAATCCTTACGAGAAACTTTTGAAATTCACGTGAACACGGTTCCGCTCTTAATAGCAATACACTCAAATTTCAAGTGTTATTGCAAATATTCAAATAAACCTTATATTATTTTTTTCATCATCGTTACAGCTTTTAACCAACGCCACAACACACGTTTGAGCGACGCCATCCTTCAGATCTAACCACGTCGCCACTCCATCTAGTGCGGATCTCTACACTTTTCTTCCCCGTTCGTAGTCGATGTTTTGAACTACTTGGCCGGCTCATTGCCACTTCAGATTAATGATTCGCTGGGCTACGTCGGGTACTATGATTCTATTGCGGATATCATCATATAATATAAAGAACTTAGGAGAACACATAATGTTTCGTATCATGAATGATGAGATCCCGAAACCCTTTTACTAGTAACTAGACATTAATCTTAATCCTAAGGCCCGATTTACATTGCCCGGAACGGAATAGAAGCGAATTTATGTAACGAAATTGTACATAGTAAAATGAATTTTATGTTAATTGTTTAACGTGCAAAGTAGATAAGAGCCAAAAAAGAAGTCGCGCGTCTTCCGGGGAATTCTAGCGCATTCTCGAGGATTACCGTAGCTACTGTCGACGCAGTCTGTGGAATCCGCGGGAAGTGACGCGAAGGGTGACGTTTTCATTTCTTCCATAAGTCATGAACCCAAATATTTATTTTCCTTTTTTGAACCCTTGCTGTTCCGCCTGAAGTTATACGCGCGGGCGGACGCTTCTTAGCAACAATCTTTCGAACAATTTAGCTGCGTGCGGTAGCAGCGTGATCGGCCTATAACTGGCTGCTCTACGTCTGTCCTTCTCGGGTTTCGGCAGATCGATCGGCAGGTTTCGATCACTTTGCCGATTTTCCAGTCCTCCGGGAAGTGGGATGTCCAGCAGTATACCATTGTAGAGTCAACTAACCTCTACAAGTACTCTGTTGGGCAGCTGTCCGAGTGCTGCGTTGGTTATCCCGTCGTGCCCCGGCGCCTTCCTCGGTTGCCGGCGGGTTACTGTCCTCCGCAATTCGGTGGGGGAGATGAACCACTCTCCTGCAAGCGGTGGCGCGGGCGACAACAGGAACTCCTGTACGCGGCTCTCCTTCCGGGCTTGAACCTCCATGACCTTCGCCCTTGCTGGGTTCGGTATAAATTGCTCCTTGAAGTGCTCTACTAGGATATCCGCTCTACCTTTGGCCTCGTAACAATGTTCGCCTGTCGGTTCAGTTTGTAGAGCGACGCATCTTGCTTTTCCGCTTTCGATATGCGCCACTCCCAGGCCCCTCCTCTGTGGGCCTGGACTGCAACCGACATTTCATCCGACAGTGTGTACAGTTACGTTTTTTGTCTGAGGCAGTGAGTGCACGCCCAAAGCTTTCTCATTGCTCTTTTCTGTAAGAAATTTCCAAATTACCAGTTTACTATCCTAGTCGCGAGTTATACGCGAAAGAGAACCGCGCACCGCGCCCCATTTCGACACATCTTAACATTGATTTTCATCATTGCGCCCTTGTATTTTACCCCATATCTATATTTCTATAAGACATTTAGTTACACAATTTAATTTATAAGAAAAACAATAAAGTATTATCATTATGATATACATTTCATCGTTATTACATAAAAACATATTAAGATATTGAAAAAAATACTAGGTGTATTTTGTTGAAAAGGGTTTCCGGTTCTCTCGCTCACCATACGAAACACAACAGCATTAAGCTCCTATTTTACGCTGGTTTTCTGTGAGAGGGTGGTCGCTATAATATAGCTGCAGCATGGCTCTACTACATAAGAAATGTGTATGCGCACATCCTTGTGCACTATAATCCTGTCCTGTGGAGATGGCTAGTTTTTGTTGCGAATAGCCGCTGTTATCGTTTGGTCTAGCAGACATGATTATTTTAGTATGTAGGTATGTACACGACAAATACATTTTCAGGTTGCCTTACGTGATGGCGTGTTTGTTTGCTACTGTCTTGGAAGATGCAATTACCTCGATGCGCATTCTGGGTGAGCGTTTGTTTTCTTTACGTATTTAAATTTGGGGATATAAGGTTGGTTAATCCCTAATATAAAGTTTTAACGTGTTGTGTGTTGTGATAGGGGTTTGGGTAGAAGTTAAAGATTTAAATACGTATTCTTGGGGAGCGATTGTTTTTTTTTCACATATTTAAATTTGGGGACATATAGTAAAATCAAGGTTAACCCTATTGTAAGATTGTAACGTTCAGGGTACGGTATAGGGGGTAAGGGTAGAGGTTATAGATTTAAAGCTATCTTGTACATAGATGAGGCTTATCGTTACGTCTTGTAGTACTGTGTGTAGGTATAAAAACGTAGGATCTAGCCAAAAGCAACTCGGGTAGATTCGTTTTGTAAAGGATAAATTAAAATAAAAGCAATTTTATAAAATGTTTAGATTGACATGACCTAGGTTATTTAACCTTAATTAACGATTTAGTGTCATCTTTATGATTTTTTTGTGATGTTTGCGCCTCTTACGACACGTACGGGACGATATGCGGTAGTGGATATTCTTATGCCGCCGCTACACGGTATATTGTGTTGGATCCAATTTTTATGGAAGAGAAGAGAACGACCATGCAGCTCACTTGGTAGCAACTGACTACCACTGATGATGAACAAGTGGAACACCATGGCAATCGCGGATACGTTGCCGGCCTTTTAAAAGAGAGTAGCATCTTTTTTTGTAGGCATTCTTACTTCTCATTACAAGTAGCAATACGACTCGAATTTTGTCACAAGATAATATCAATGATAAAGGGGACTGTTTAATACACACGTAATTTCACCATAATCACCTCAAAACGTGTGGTCCTAACACCTAAACGATTACGGCTATCTCGACGATCGATTGCCTCATTGATCTAGTGGTTGTAGGCACGACTTGTGACCATGAGCCACGACCCGGGTTCGAATCCCAGATCGGGTCATAATCAGTTATTAGGTTTTTCTGTCAAAAAAGCTCAGTAGCAGTCAGGGTCAGGCAGTGTCACAGTATCATACGGTGTTTTACCCCAGTGCCTCGATCGAAAAGCACGTAAACCCTCTCTTTCCGGTCGGGTCGTATTGTCGACCTATGGGATCAAGAGGGTGAGGGAATAGAGACGCTCACACTCGAACAATATAATCTGAACGAACTTATATAGGACATTAATTTCAACTACACGAGTTCATTTACGAACATTGAGGCTAGCCTGACAATAATTTTATTTCAAAGTTATATGTTTATAAAAATATTTCTTTACAGGAGAATGTAACAACACGCTTCGCGTCACAAAAACAATGGCGGCTATGGACGAACTGCTTGCGCTGAAGTTTTCTGTCGCCCCAGCACCCATTAGTGATCCTCTGCAGAAGATTGATCCTTCAGACCTGGAACGCGGAGAGTATAAACTGAATAAATTGGAGTCGGATCGGTCAGTTTTATTATTTTGTTTCTAAGAACAACCCGGTGTAAGGTTAATATTAGAAGACTACGCCAGCCTCTTCCTCTGTTTCATACTAATGTTGCGCGCCACTATTAATGTCTTGTATATGGCAACACTAGTTAACACTAGCGCCCTCTAATGTCGTGTAGCAGAACTAGGACAGTCAAGATCTCTATCTCTCAAGAACTAGGATCAGTACTCGAACATTCTAGATGTTTCTATAGTAGAAGGTTCTGGAAACTACCTGAGGCCCTATATAAGGCCAGTTCTGTACTGGCCTTATATAGGGACCGCGTGAGTATTGAATTGGCAATATAAGCGAATACTTCGAAGCGAAATAACTGCGAACTAAAGTGATCAGTAGTACAATTGTGTTTTATTATTAGTGTGGTTTTAAATTGTGATTAGTGTTCTGTAATTAAAGTGTCAGTTTTAGTAATTTAATCGGCAGTTTTTAATTGTCTCGAACCCCAAGGACGTAACAATTGGTGTCAGAAGTGGGATCAAATCATGCCCATTTTATCAAAGGATGGCACGGACGGTATCCGTACCCGAAGTCAACGCCAGCAGAAGACGGACCAGAGACAATTTGGTGGTGCAACGCCACAGACGTCGGAGGGCCAGCTGCTGACCACGGAGGCCGGCCCGTCAGCAGCTCCTGCATCTGCAGTACCTGACTTAGGTGCTCTGATTATGATGCTGCATGAACAGGCCCGCTGACAGGAGGAACAGGCCCGTCGGTTGGAAGAGCAGCTGCAGCGGGGACAGGAGGAACAGACCCGTTAGTTGGAAGAGCAGTTGCAGCGGGGACAGGAGGAACAGGCCCGTCGTTTGGAAGAGCAGCTCAAACGCGATAAGGAAGAGCAGATGCTCCTCATGAAGGACCTTCACGCTACCTTCGGGAAAGAGAGAAGGGAGTTGAAGGATAGGGTTGCTCAACATGACAACCGCCTGTTGGAAGCTAAAACCCGAATCGACCAAGTGAACAATCGGGTTGACAACGTGATGGCTGACGTGAAGAAAACGCTGGACGACTTCAAACTGGGAGATGGAAATACAGCTCCCGTGGTAGCTACAACACCTTCGCTATGTGTATTATTCAAAGTGTCGCCATTCGACGGGACTTCTTCCTGTTCGGCCTACAAAATCCAGTTCGAGGCTGTTATGAAGGCGAACGGCTGGAATAAAAGTCAGGCTATAACTGCTCTCACCCTAAGCCTACGCGACCAGGCCTTAACTATTCTGGAAGCTCTCGGTACAGAAGTGACTTACGAGCAGCTCCTTGAGGCATTGGAGGAGAGATATGGCGACGCTCACTTGGAACATGTCTTTCGTGCGCAGCTCAAAGATAGCGTGCAACGCAGCAATGAAAACCTCCAGCAGTGGCCCTTGAGGTGGAGAAGCTGGTTCGGAAAGCAGTGCAGACATCCATCGACGGCATCCGCGACCTTGAAGTCAGAGCTGCTGTGAGGCTCGGGCAACACGAGACGCTTAAGGACGCGTTGGCCCATGCACTGGAGGTGGAAGCCGTGCGGCAGGATCATCGTTCCTATCGCGTCAGGGAGGGTGCAGTCGCTACAGTTCGCGACCGCAATAAAGAATACAGCCCTAGGTGCTACGGCTGTGGGGAAAGGGGCCATCTTCGATCCAGTTGCCCTAAACGAAATGTAGAAAGGGAAGGTGATCGATCTCGAGAGGGTAGTGTGGCTAACAGCACCGCCCAGCAACAGCAGGGAAACTGGCGGGTGCTGACTGATGTTAGAAGAGGTACTCCTAAGATTGTCCATGTGGATTGACTGGCGCGTTATTATGGGGCCAATAATGCTCGGGACGAGCATGTCTTAGGAGGGGACAGTGTTGCGCGCCACTATTAATGTCTTGTACATGGTAACACTAGTTACCACTAGCGCCCTCTAGTGTCCAGTAGCAGAACTAGGACAGTCAAGATCCTTCTAGAAATATCGGGACTGATATGTACTTGAACATTCTAGATGTTTCTATAGTAGAAGGTTCTGTAAACTGCTTACTGCGTTAATTGGGATTCGAAAATTGATTTTGATGTAATTAATCGCTAGCTTAGATCTAAACGAGTGTCGAACTTCCATAGGTATAGGAATGTGCAACGTTCTTCAATTGTTTTAAAAGGTGATTCTGGGACTGTTATCTTTTTTTTTAAACTAAAGTGACAGACAAACTTACAGTCTAGTGATCTTCTAATACTGAAGCCATGAACAAATGCAGCCTACTTCAAGCAAAGACTACATATGCGGCGTCACCTCTGAGGACTAAGATCGAATGCCTCACAGCCTGTAGTTAATAATTATACTGGCTCTTTTACACCTTTCGGACCGGAAAACAGCAGCGCAAGCACTGCTACTTGGCGGCTAAAATTACATGTTAGGGTACATCACACACACACACGCACACAGGAAAAATTCTAGGTTTCTGATGAGTGATACAAATGGCATTTTTTGAGCTTTAATAATTTAAGAACTATTAATTATTGTTGTTGTGTGAAAAGTTGTAAGTAATCATCATCATTTTTCAGTACAGCCCATGAAATGTCATGCCATAGTTGCCATACTTGGCGGACGAGTTGGCAACTGCAGACTTTTATTATTATTATCAAGTTGTAATCAGGAAGATGCTGCTGCTCTTCTCTTGTTTCAGTGTTCCTGAGTCGCCTCTTACGACACCCAAGGATTTTTTTTTATAGGATAAGGGTGGCAAACGAGCACACAGTCCACCTGATGGTAAGTGGTTGCTGCGGCCCATAGACATCTACATCTATCTTCGACTAAGAATCAAAATGCAGATGCGTTGTCACCCGTGAGGACTAAGATGGAATGCCTCGTTTCCAGTAAAAAGGGTCTCCGGTTCTCTACACTCACCATACCAAACACAACAGTGTTAAGCTGCTATTTTACGCTGGTATTCTGTGAGAGCGTGGTGCTTCCCCGGTCGAGTCGACCCATTCGCGCTGCAACTATACTACTAATATAGCTGCAGCATGGCTCTACCACGTGTAAACGCTGCTGCTCATCTCTTGTTTCAGTTTCCCTGAGTCGCCTCATACGTCACCCAAGGGATGATGGGAAGTGGTGGTTTCTCTAAAGCCGCTACTAGATGGAAAAATTACAAATATGTCGGTATAATAGCTTTTAGGTTAGGAGGGTAGGGGATGGTCGAAGTAGCTCGATGGTTGGTTCGTGTAAGTACATATATACACACAGGTACGTCGTCTTTTTCTTTTTATGAGCTTTCCTGGCACATTGCTGGGTGTTTAGATCTCTTGTTTTTTTTAGGAACTTCTTGCTCAACGTGCTCACGTCTACCTATTTTGATTTGTCGCTGAAACGGCGCTACCAAGCTATAAATGACTACGCGAACCAAATGATTGATCGCGAAAATTATTTCTTTTCTCTGTTGGAAGTTGAAGCCAGGAATCGAACGTAAGTTAATCAATTTATTTATTCATTCATTACAGTCTATCAAAAGTCCGCCTCCTCTTCTTGAGGGTTCTATGTATATTTGTCGTCACATAGGGTTGGCAACGATAGCCGAGACGCCTTACCGGCGCGTGAACTTTTGGTGTAATCATTGCGGTGCGATGCAACATCTCACTGGCGCTGCAACGACTTGTGTGATGTCTTTCTAATGTCCCTATCATAAATTCAGGATCAAGAAGTGGTCAGTTGCTTTGCGTTTAGTTACGTAAATCGCTTCTATAACAAACTACTCGTCCGACAACAACTTACGACGTTCTAAAATAATAAAACTTCCTTATAAGACGTCGTTTATCTGAACGGGGAGCAGCGTCGGAGATGCGTCTGGTACTGTGATGTGTTAGTGTGTCTCGCCATGCCCCTTTTTATAGACATTTTTTTATGTGTAAATAGAAAGTTATATATCATTCCACATCGGATTTTTATGTGTAATAAGAAAGTTATATAATATATAAAGGTTATGATTTGACTGTCTATAATATTATACAAAAAATCACTTTAACATAGATACATACTTTGTTGACTTTGGATTTTAACAGATCATTAATCCGACTGCCAATCGTGATGATTAAGGCATATACTCGACATTCTTAAGACTTTTAAGGCCTGTTGAAGAAAAAGAAGCCGTCGTAAGTTGGTGAACCGGTATTTAGTTTTATAAATTGTTTTTTCATGTAACCTAGAGCGAGTTGTACGGGATAATTTTTTTTTAAATTTAGAATATAGGCATAAGCCACGCGTTTGAAGTACGTGTGCTAAAGAAATATAATATGCCATTTGAATCACTGCACTGTTCGGAATCATCTCATTTTTAGAGCTCGCCGTGAATTGAACAGACAAATCCGTCAGCAGCGTGTTCACGTAAAGTCCGTCACATATGACACCGATATGGCCATAGAGAAGCTGAAAACGCAAGTGGAAGTAAGTGTTAACAAAGTTTAAATTTTTGTGAACGATGTGACTGCCAGGTATTTGCATTCTAGTATTACAATCGATTTTTATTACTTATGTGAGGAATCCTCGTCAATCCGTAAACAGTCCACAGTTGGACGTGGCCATTCCTATCACTGTCATTATTACAGTCTTACACAGTCAATTGCTAAACATAAGACTCCCATAAGGAATGCCAAAAAGACACGGCCTCGAGCCACGTGCTTCGATTGACTTCGTGCATGCGTTACCAGGTTGTACTTCGTTTACCGGGCTTTTCTTTAGTATGGATCATTTACTGTAACACGCAGTACCAGAAGTCTCACACCTTTGCTCGAACTGCTTCCTGTCGCTGGTCTAGGTTACTCATATTCGATTATAACGATATTCTATGTTTTTCAGAAATACACACTGGTTGATTTATAGTAACTATATATTGCCTTTTGATTTATCACGTGCACAGCACTGAATAAATACACTGTGAACCTGGAAGCGACTGGAAATACAATTCATAAAATATAAAAAAATGTGGACATTTGTATTTAAAATTAATACTCGTTGGAGCAACCATTTTTTTCTTGTTTAAATACCCTCACAATAATGAGAAGAGAATATTGGGCGCGTATTTAATTTTTTCGCTTCAGATAATTTTGTTTTATTTTTAATTTAAGGATGCAGCCTTAAACGCGGAGATTCAAACCCGCTACGTAGAGAACTGGGAGCGTTCTCGCACGGAGCAGCACCAGCAGAACATAGCCGACAAGGAGTCGCCGCCCTCTAACACCATCGAGTCCTACAAAATGCGTATCGATCACGAGCAGAGAGTACACAGCGAGTTTGAGCTGCTGACTAATATTATTATTAACGTAAGAATATAAATAATTTTTCTTTAAGTTTTTATTTTTATCGGTTTATGTTCTCTTGTTGTATTTAAACGACAACGACAATTTTTTATTGACGTCGAAGGGTGTTATTTTTTTTTCTTCTGCCGACTTCAAAACGGAGACGGTACTCAATTCGACTGTATGTATTTTTTTATGTGTGTTACCTCATAACTTTTTTACTTGGTTAACCGATTTCGATGATTCTTTTTATATTTGAAAGCTGGTACTTCACATGTGGTCCCATATGAATTTGATCAAGGCCAGACCAATAGTTTTTGAGTTATTTTTAATAATTTATATGAAGTCGGCTGTACAAAATTTTTAATTTTTAATTATTTAAAAAACCGTTACCTTACACTAGGATTTTCTCCTGTACCGTGGAGGCAGTTTACTTACTTAAATCGCACAAAGAGAAACATCCAGACCCATACATATACGTGGTAGAGCCATGCTGCAGCTATATTTCTGGTATAGTTGTAACACGAATGGGTCGGCTCGACCCATTCGTGTAAAATAACAGCTTAATGCTGCTGTGTTCCGTATGGTGAGTGTAGAGAACCGGAGAACCTTTCTACTCGAAACGAGGCATGCCATCTTAGTCCTCACGGGTGACAACGCATCTGCATTTTGATTCCTCATCGAGGATAAATGTAGATGTCTATGGGCCACAGCAACCACTTACCACCAGGTGGACTGTGTGCTCGTTTGTCACCCTTATCCTATAAAAAAATATATACATATATGTTTGTGCGGGGTTCGAACCCGCGGCCTCAGCGCCGTAACTCATTCCTGAGCCACTGCGCCAGGGAGCCGTCGATCAATAAGGCAGGGTATTATTTAAAAGTCCCACAACTTTACACGAGGCACTCGCACGTGCTGAACCTAGCCGTATCCGATAGAACTGTATCGCAAAGATTATAATATAATCACTACGTTTTGACGTGCCTGTGCACTGTACACAGAAATAAACTTCTTGTCGTGTTCCGTGGGTGTAACGCTTATGTAATATATCGGAGCGGTGATAGACCGCAGTCGGATCCTTCCTCGATCAAATGATACATTGCGAACGTTACAGCCTTCAAGATATGGGAACAAGCAAAGCACACATACAATAACAAAACATTGTTTTGTAGAATAAGGGTGACAAAATATGACACACAGTCAACCTGATGGAATGTCTCCTATCCAAAAGAGGGTCTCCGGTTCTCTACACTCTTAATACGAATCAGCAGCATTAAATAAGTCCTTATTCTTTATAAACTGCTCACTGATAAGATCTCTCTTTTTTTTTTCTACCGACTTCAAAAAGGAGATGCTACTCAATTCGACTGTATGTTTTTTTTGTGTGTTACCTCATAACTTTTTACTGGGTGAACCGATTTCGATGATTCTTTTTTTTATTTGAAAGCTGGTACTTCACATGTGGTTCCATATGAATTTGATCAAGGTTAGACCAATAGTTTTTGAGTATTCTTAATAATTTATATTGAAGTCGGCTGTACAAAATTTTTAATTTTTAATTATTATAGAATAAGGTTGATAAGCGAGCACGCAGCGTATCTGATGGTAAGTGGATACTGTGGCTCATAAACATCTACACCTATCGTCGATTAAGAGTCCAAATGCAGATCCGTTGTCACCCCCGAGGACAAGACGGAATGCCTCTTTTATCCAGTTTATACAATATTAAAAACTATAATAATAAAAAAAAACTAAAACTAGAAACTTAATTATCAAATTAAAATTTTATACAGCCGACTTCAATATAAATTATTAAGAATACTCAAAAACTATTGGTCTGACCTTGATCAAATTTATATGGGACCACACAAGAAGTACCAGCTCTCAAATAAAAAAGAATCGTCGAAATCGGTTCACCCAGTAAAAATTTATGAGGTAATACATAAAAAAACATACAGTCGAATTACAGAAATTACGAAACAGCAGTATTAAGCGGCTATTTTACGCCTGTATTCTGTGAGAGCGTGGCCCTGCCCCGGTGAGAAAAGATCCATTCGGGCTACAACCATAATATAGCTGCAGCGTTGCTCTACCACGTATGGATCAGAATCACGGCAATGTATATTTTTACACAAATCTTAGCATTTGGAAAGGAGCTCGATGTTTCTCCTCCGATGTAGTCATTCAAACCACAAAGACCACGCGGTTGTTCAGCAAGTTATATTTACTGTAGAATTGGTTAATGCAGGAAACTCTGGAGAAGGTAGAGAATTGGATGAACAAATACGATAAAGATATGGAAGCGATGGACTTGAAAATACAAATAATGAGAGCCGATTATGAAAACACTTTGGAAGAGAGGTTGAAGCTCGAGGAGACGGTATGACTTTAGACTTGCTGTAGAGTAGAGCGTATCGTTCGAGTAATCATACTATGAGTGTTTAAAAAACTTGGCAGCAAATTTAACTAGTCTATCCTGAAAAAAAAATAGTTTATCCCAGTTTCGTCAAATTCTCATTTTGTCAATGTAAAATATACATTCACATCTATAAAATATCAATTGACATTTCCCCAAGAGTAAGTAAATTAGTAATTAGCCGGTCATACAGAACGTAGAACTGACAAGCAATCGGAATTTCGCAACGACTTTTTAAAACATTTTTAAATATCTTATGTTCACGCTTTTTTCGACCGAACTGACGTAAATACTTTTTTAGTTTACATTAATTGTATGGCTAATTATCCCAAAAATTAGGTAATTTTTTTTAGTTTTTTATAGTTATCAGTATACAAAAACGATGTTCAATTTATATTTATTTATTTATTTATTCTTTTTTACATCTACCTTATAATAAGGGATATAAAGGGCGGACTTAATGCCTTGTGGCATTCTCTACCAGTCAACCCTGGATGATTTGAGAAGCTGTGGTAGGTGCAACACCACTCATTAATTAATAAATAAGTAAAAACATTATATCTTATAACAAAAAGCAAATAAATAAAATATTTTTAAACTATACAAACTTAATATTATCTACTTAGTAATAAACAGAAAAAAAATTAATAGTAAATATATAAACGGATAAAATATACTTATATATACAAAATATAAACGGATATAATATACTTATATATATAAACAAAATATATAAACGGATATAATATACATATATATACAAAATCTCTAAATAAATATAAAATAATATAACACAAATAAAATAACATGATGCATATTAAAATACATATTATACAAAATATCAATTACAAAGCGAAAGAGTGAGAAAAACAAAAATCGGATAAATCAGGTGGTATTATTCTTGTTAAAGAATTCTCGAACAAGTCTTTTAAAATATTGTTTGTTATTATATCAATTATTCAAGCAAAAATCGATCCTATTATTTTGTTATACAAATGTTTTTAAGATAAGTAATATCAAATGGAGAGTTTAAGGTAGTTCAACCTCACGAACATGTTCGTGAGAGTAAGTTCGTTGAAAAATCAAAATGTGTTCACGTCGTTTAGTTATTGATTAACTAGAATAGGGGTTCTTTTTGTTTAGGTGTCAGACCAGTCCGTCCAGCTGTTGTTACACTCCTCTTATTTATTTTTGCCATTAAGCAGCAGTACTCACTGTTGTGTTACGTTTTGAACGGTAAGTACAGGGATGCATCACACAATGCATTCCATTTTATAAGTGATAAGTTGGTTACATTTGTGCATGAACTGCGGTCGACACTTAGCATCAGGTGGACCATTAGCTCGTTTGTCACTCCAATATTATAAAAATATAACATTAAATTATCGTTTGGTTGAGACGAAAAAGAATCTATCATTCCAAGGATGGATTGTGGGAAATATTCGCAAGAAATCGAAGATGTTTATTTTCATTAAAAACATAACGTTAAACGTTATGTTTTTAATAAAATATATTAAAGGTCATATAGACCTTTTTAAATATGACCTTTAATAGACCTTTTGTAACGGTTGTATTAGTGCGACTGCTGCTCATGAGGTCCCGGATTCGAATCCCGAGGAACATATAGTATAATATACATACTATACGCAGACGATTGCCTCGTAGGTCTAGTGGTTGTAGTAGTGCGACTGCTGATCATGAGGTCCCGGGTTCGAATCCCGGGCCGGGCCAAAAAAATCAGTCATCGAGCTTTTCCATCCAGAAATTCTTAGCAGCTGACTGGAGTCAGGAACTTCGCGGTGTCTCACCGCCGTGCCTCAGAAAGCACGTAAAGCCGTTGGTCCTGCGCCTGATCTCTCTCCGGTAGTGTCGGTTTACCGCCCTATCTTATCGGACTAAGAGAGTGCACCTGTGCTTGCGCATACACTTGGGTAATATAATCCTGTGCTGCGCCGATGGCTCGTCTCCGTTGATGCTGGCCGTCGTGACCAAAATTCGGTCTGGAGGACATTAATATAACATCAAATAGGTTGGGACTACCTAGTAAGTATTTCATTGTCAGGCAGCCCTTTGGTTTCGTAACACTTGCATACTTATATACTCATTTATATGCAATATGGTAATACATATGGTCTCGTGTTATCTGTATATCAGATCGGCGACTGGTACTGCAACTGCCAATCTTCCAACAAAACGTAGTGATTAGGTTTTTTTTTATAGGAGAGGGGTAAACGAGCATGCGGCTCACCTGATGGTAAGTAACTACCGCCGCCCATGAATAACTGCAACACCAGGGAGGGAATTGCAGATGCGTTGCCGACCTTTTAAAAAGGAGTACGCTTAAATCAGGTAAAATAATGTTCTTTCTTTCTTTCTTAGGTTAAATCCTACCCAAGATTTAAAAGGTGGTTAAAAACTCTTTAATATTTTTTTTTATTTTTTTTCAGTTTTAGTTGAGATCGTACATTAGACAAAACTGGAGCTTGATGAAATGGGAACCTGACGAAGCGGAAATTTGACTAAAAGAAAATAAACCAAAATCTCTTTGTTTTACAGATGAAGAAACACGCCACGCTAATGAAAGAATGGCTGCAGTTCAAAGAGGATCGCGAAAAAGCGCGACTATATCGCGAACGAATGTTTAACGCCGCAGTGGTCGTGCAGGCCTGGTGGAGAGGCCTGCTGGTGAGGCAGAAGCTCGGTCCATACAAGGAGGTGAAGAAAAAGAAAACAGCCAAGAAGTAAACGAGTGTTTTAAAATTAGAGTTAACGTGAAGGAGAAGGACATTCAAATTGTAAGTCTCTTCCATCCAATATACCGGCTGACTTTTTGCCGTGTTCCGAAAGAAGTAGAATTCTATGGCATAGATATTGTTCAAATTTATTTTTATATCATTGTTACACTATTTTATTGAGTTACCTAGCGGCTGATTCAAAGTCAAGAGCGTTACAAACTTACAAATTGATTGTTACTTGCCTCGTGTAAAGTAGGGTGCACATGATTTGAATTTCGATATTTTATTAATAGCTTTCTTTTTTTTTCTAAAGTTTACTTTAATAATATTCATATTATTAAAGTAAGTAAAGGCTTCTAAATAAAAAATGTCAGCCAGTATAAGGACGGAGTTACAATCGTTTCAAACATTATTTTATCTGTCACCGCTAGAGACGTCACTAGCACATTATTTTTTTGACAAGTACCTGAAAGATTTCAGTGTTTGTAATTGTTTTTGACGTGAAAACTTCTTTAGTCGCGTTTAGCGATTTTTGGTAGGTAAAAAACTTATGGGTTCGCGTCACCGATGATCTCGATTATGCTTGTGACGTATTGCGCGCACGTCACAAGTATGACTTGAATTCCTCCTACGCTGACTTCGGTCGCGCGTACTAATGTACATTGTGTTCTATAAAGCCCCACACTACGACGCTGACGACAGCGACGCGTAGTTTGCTGCGTACCTCGCGCGTCGGTCTCGCTCGTCAGCGCCGCGTGGCCGCGTACGTCGATCGACGGACGAACGTGGAATAGTGCGAGCGCCCTCACTATATTACCGACGATCCACGCGTGCACGTACAGTTGCAATGAATATCGATACAGAACGTCTTATTTACCTAATGATTTGTACAAAGATGGGAGAGCTAAATACTGGGTAGAAGTTTTCGAGGCTTTATTTCCGGATTACAATAATGAGGACGACAGTAAAAAAAGGAGATCGGTAAGTAAAAGACAATGTTAAGAATAATAATTATTAACATTGTATTTTACTGACCGATCTCCTTTCCGAAATCAAATTAGCAGACGACTGTACCGTATAGAGCTCGGTATCGTACTATGGTATTTTATTACTCGCTGACGTACGCAACCGACCGTACGCAACCGACGTCAGCGTAGGAGGAATTCAGGCCTGTAGCGGCCTGTGTACACGTATACGCATAAAATATTATTGAGTTTTCACTTCTGTCGGCAGTGCTTATGACTGCCTCTGTTTTTTTTTGTTGTTTTCAAATAACAGATAGTTTTTTAAAGTGCTACTCAATTTTTTAAAGACCTTTGTTAAGTTACATGTTTTGTGATTTTATAGTAAAATAATTTTTAACGCCTATTTGCCTATTTACTACGGGGATATGGAACATAAAAAATACAATAATACATATATCATTAAAATTTTATTATCAGTCGTCAGCACATGACAATTTACTACCGAGTAACATCAGTCGGTTGGCATCCTTAATGTCCACGCACTAAAACACACAATAGTTAGCGTTATGACTCAGTTTCCTTGGGTATAGTGTTGTCGAAAAAGAAAATAGGAAAATTTTGCCTTAATCAATGGATGAAATTTCCGGTGACCATCGGTTTTATTTCCACTTTTCAATACAAGATACACACAGTTGGTGTGGCCAAGAGTTTAATAAAATAAATATTTAAAAAGTTTGTCACAGCCAAAGCAAATAAATAATCTATATCAGATATCAGTAGTGTTGAAATGGTTCAAGACACTAATGGTGTGCTAAAAACTAAAATGTCGTATTGGACACTAAAAGATTCATCGAACATTTTATTAAGATTTTATTAAGTTTGTATCACTTATATTTTAAAATAAATTCGCAACATGCGTACGCCATACGCAACATGTATGTTACTTGATACCAACACAATTCATTAAAGGCGATATTACACAGTTTATTTTTTCCTTCCCTTTTCAATGAATCATTCCGAATGAGAGCTGAATGAACAGTACGTCGTTCGGCCATCGGTCAATCAAAGTATTAATCCATTATTTTATACTATTTATTTTGATTGTTTTACTATTTAAAAATTTAATAAATTATTTAATTAGCTAATATGTATTTGATTTGCTGCTTCCAAATGAAACTTTATTTGTCGTGTATGTGTAATATCTAAATGGATGTAATGAATCTAATATTTTGAAAGTATAAACGTCGGCGGTTAATTAAAGATTACATAATACACATATTATGTATTAATTAAAGATTACATAATACACATATTATGTATTAATTAAAGATTACATAATACACATATTATGTATTAATTAAAGATTACATAATACACATATTATGTATAAATTAAAGATTACATAATACACATATTATGTATTAATTAAAGATTACATAATACACATATTATGTATTAATTAAAGATTACATAATACACATATTATGTATTAATTAAAGATTACATAATACACATATTATGTATTAATTAAAGATTACATAATACACATATTATGTATTAATTAAAGATTACATAATACACATATTATGTATTAATTAAAGATTACATAATACACATATTATGTATTAATTAAAGATTACATAATACACATATTATGTATAAATTAAAGATTACATAATACACATATTATGTATTAATTAAAGATTACATAATACACATATTATGTATAAATTAAAGATTACATAATACACATATTATGTATTAATTAAAGATTACATAATACACATATTATGTATTAATTAAAGATTACATAATACACATATTATGTAATCTTTAATTAACCCCGACGAAAACAGAGGGGTGTTATAAGTTTGCAGTACGTATCTGTGTGAATTGTGTGTCTATATGCGGCATCATAGCTGATGAGCTCATCAACGGATGAACCCATATTGATTAAGTATTTTTTCGTTTGAAAGGTGTTTTAATCGAGTGTTCTTAGTTATGTTTCATGGAAATCTGTTCATCCGTTTGAAGATCATCTGTTCTCTTTGTTTCGGGAGTTTTTTTTTAATTATTAATTTAAGTTATCGGTTAACCGTGAATGAATATTCACTAGAAATTATTCATTAATGAACCGTCTAATATCACCTTAGATCGCTTTACCACGCATGTTTACAAACTAGGTTTACAATAGGAAAAGAGATAGAACTATCTAATCTTGTATAAAATTCAATACTATTCCTTACACAATGTTGTCAGTAAATAACTTCTAATGTATGTTATATTTTCGTCGCGTATCTTAACATGATATTTTTGTAATATTTACAACAGTTTATATAGTTAACTATACACATTTTAAAATGAGGTAAAGCAAAGTTTGGAAGTTCTAAATAACGATTTTTCTTTGACTCTTTAAATCATGGGCTAGAATAAGAAAGAACAACGGAAGTGAATTCTGTTGAACATTGAAAATATTTTATATACACCATTTTGTCGCTTCATTCCTTTTAAGTATCAGAAAATTTTACCTTTACTATACAAACAGAGTATTGTCAATATTAACATATGTCTATTCCAATCATCGATAAATATGTACTACGTACTAGATTGCGCATTCCGAACATACACTATGTTCAACTGAACTGTACGGCAATCCGTACAGTGTGTCATTTAGTGTGGTTTCAATTTACTAGTTAGTCTGTGGTTTCAATATTCATGCAGTGTGGAGCGGCGCTAATAATACAAGATTTCAAATTAAAGTTTAAACCTGGACGTAAATATCAATTCAGTAGTCAAGTAAGTAAAATTATTTCTTGTTGAAGTGAATAAATAGGTAATAATATCGTAATATTACAAAAGAAAAAAATATGAAAAAATATATTTCTTTATAAACTGCGCAGGGGCAACGCGCTTAAACCAACTGCGCATGCGCGACTTTACTATCTACCGCGCATGCGCGAAGACATAGAGTAGTACATATTTTTTTGTTTTGAAAGGCTTCTCTAGTACGTAGTACATATAACTCAATGATTCCGATAAAATAAATTAAGATAAAATTAAATAATACATGTTTTAATACAATAATTGAAACGTATGAATATATGAATATTATTCGGTAAAATATTATAATCAATTTTACAAAATTATGGATCCGCTGCTATGTATGTTTATCCATTTAATGATTCATAGAACTTCCAAAATTAATATGCATATCTCTATTTATGTACAAGAAAACTTCACGAATGATTAAAAACAACAATAAATAGAACTATACACATCGACAATCTCAACTATGCGCTCGAATTTAATTCAGTCTTAAACTCCGTATTCGCTTACGCCTTGGGAAATTTTAAGCATTAAACAAAATATAAACATAAGCAGGAGAGACGAATATAATAAAACAATAGAATAATATTATAATGATATTATAATCAATAACAAAGTTCATAACTTTTTAGCTACAATAATGTTGCAGCCGTTTTCTTTGTTTTATTGTTTCAATCGCTATTTATCGCTTCTGTTTAGATAACTTTTAAGTAGTCTGTGGTAACATCCATATTATGATCGTTTTTATCATAACGCTAATTTGCAATTTATTTATTGCAGATGTAAGCGACCAAAAAATTAATACATTACTAAAGCGTATTTATAAATATACAAACGGCAACATATTTTATCACTACTGATAAAATGTTAACAATTTTTGTTAACATGCTCGTGTGTTAAAATTAGTCAATAATAATAATAATAATAATAAAATATTTAAATGTGGTATTGTCAAACGGTGGAGCTTGCGCGACTCTAAATATATTTAGTTTTCCTTATAAAACATATATACAAATATATAAGCATCAGCAAACATGCTCAATCCGATTTAAAATTCACAAAATTAACATGGTGGATTTGAACGTGTAATACTTTCAGTTGCGTTCGTAAACGCGTCCATATAAAAAGTAATAATTACTTAAACCTAACGCTTGATCATAATCACTTTACAAACTACTTGCCGCATCGAAAGCAACGCAAGCGGTGGTGAGTGAGTTTGTTGAATATCTTTTGTGGTATATTTAGTTAAGAATTTGACTTATAGAAATGGCAACATTGTCTTCGCTTAACAGTTTCCCTATCCGCGATATAGATACAATAGTTAAACAATTTAAATGTTCATACAATGATTCGTGGGACAGGGAAAGTGTTAATTCTTATGTAAAACGTCATCAAAACCGTTAGTATAAAAACAAACCGGAAGTGATAATTGTACCGTTAAATTGATTTATTGGAAATTTAAAAAAAAATTGTTAGAAATACAAACTCCTTGCTTAGATGACTTCTGCTCCCTTACGATGCCTGGACCACAAGTGACTAGGCCCGTCATATACTAAAATTGCAAATTTCGTAAAGTTTATAAACGCTGTAAATTCTCCACGAATAATACGTTTAGGAAATGGCTCGAGAGTTGGTTATAATAGAAATATGTGAAAATGCCGAAAACGACGGAGCATTAAAAGCAAAAGGATCGCTCCAAGAAAGAGGTCAAAAGTAAAGATGAGAAACGCCCATTTCATTCCAAGTTGCGGCATTTTTCATAATTCCTCGAGAATTTACAGCGCTGCATATAATATATTTACGCCGGGTGTGGCCCGTACGTTTATTGCAAGATATTAAAAATACTCTATAGTTACAACATAATGTTTAATGTTATGAGTTTTCGACGCGGACACTCCGCGGCCGCCGTCACTTACTGGAGGATGACTGACCGCGTTCCTCTGCAAAAACACATGCGTTTTTTTTATTAGAAACTCTGTATATACGTGTGAATTTTAAGATTATCAGTTGATGTTACACTGACTTGACTAATATCTTAAACTTTCACTGTTATTAAAGATCTTATAACCTAATGATGCTGTGAGGCAAAACCGATCGATTTTTATAGTTAATAATTAACAAATTTAAATAAAATTTGTTCAACAGAGGACTTTTGTTGTCTTCGTGCTACAACCATAATATAGCTGCAGCATGGCTCTACCACGTACAAAATAAAAGTGACGAATAAAGTTTATATATCATACACGTTAACATAATTTATTTTGAGAGGATTTTTGGGGCAGGTAGGATATCGCTCGTTGGCGCACTTTACTTGTCTTCTAAATATTATTATTGATGTCTCCGATATACAGGTTTCCTAACAATGTGTTACAACAACTACAACGTAAGTACATGAAGTCTTAAACAACATAAACAGGCACTCATATATTCGCGCCATTTGTGTTAACACTATGCAAGTGCCGTCCGACAGTGAAAAGCTTTGTCGGGTCACGCATAGTATAGCGGTCCGTAGCCAAATGAAGCTATATAAATAACAAAATCTTCTTGTTTTTGTTGACGCCATATAAATAATAAAATAATTATTTTTCTTAATATAATTTACGGAACTTATATAACTTATTATCCCTTAACAACAGTATAGTCACGCTGAAGATATATATTATAGTTGTAGCACAAATGGGTCAGCTCGACCAGAGAAGGACTACGCTCTCACAGAATACTATAAAATAGTTGCTGTGTTTTGTATGGTGAGTATACCGTGAGTATACCGGAGATCCTTTTTACTGGAGACGAGGTAATCCATTTTAGTCCTAGATGTGACAACGCATCTGCATTTTTTTATAGGATAGGGTGACAAACGAGCACACACTGATGGTAAGTGGTTGCTGTGGCCCATAGACAATCTACATTTATCCTCGTTTGCGAATCAAAATGCAGATGCGTTGTCAGCCGTGAGGACTAAGATAGAATGCCTCGTTTCCAGTAAAAAGGGTCTCCGGTTCTCTACACTCCCCATACGAAACACAGCAGTGTTAAGCTGCTATTTGACGCTGGTGTTCTGTGAAAGCGTGGTCCTTCCCCGGCAAACCACGACCGTAACAAACACGTCCGAGATATAGTACATACGAACATGACATTACTGCAGTCTCTTCTGACGTTAAACTATTTGTATTTTGAAATATCTGTTTTGTTTATATTTTTATACTTACTATAATGTCGGAGCGCCTCCTCCCGTTCTTGTGCGTCGAAGTACCATAGCGTAATGGCATATCTGGAACAAGGACAAAAAATTAAGTAATTTTAGAAGCAAAGCTTCTGTAGGTGCGGTAGGGCACATTTGCAGAAGAAAATTGATTTGCACCCCCTTCTCCTACTTCAAAAGGTAACAGTGGGAGTATATGTAAAAGATAAAAAGGACAGACTGTTTGATATTTTTTTAATTAATTTTTCTTTACCATTTGCTTATATTAATTATTCTGTACCATTTCTACAAATTTGGCCGGTAATTGCAAAAAAACCCATACATTATTTAAAAAATTTAAATTTTATTAATACACTAAATCTTAGAATGAATCATGCAAACAAGCTTTATACGAGTAAAGGGAACTTACCAGCTAGATTCTCTTCGATAGTGAATAATTATGAGTTAATTAAACATGAATATTATAATTTTTAATTATAGACTATCTAATTTTTCTCTATTTTTGGAATTCAGAAAAGACAAGATTTTCAGCTTACGCTTTTTATATCTATAATGCAACAAAACAACATAAATGTCAAACTAGTAGTTTGTTTGTTAATTGCCTCCGTGATTATAGAATTGAATTCTTGGACAAAGTATCACACTCAATCGAATTCTTGTTTTATTTTTTTTAATTTGTTTTGTTTGAAAAATTGCGATGTATTACAGTAGCGAAGAAGAATATGCTAATTTTTAATGCTGCTCTGTTTTGCATGGTGAGTGCAGAGAACCAGAGACCCTACTTACTGGAAACGAGGCATTTCATCTTAGTCCTCAGGGGTGAAAAGGCATCGGTATTCTGATCAAGGGTTGATGCTGTGGTCCATGCACATTTATTATTTCTAATTTGTTTTGTTTGAAAAATTGCGATGTATTACAGTAGCGAAGAAGATTATGCTAATTCTTAATGCTGCTCTGTTTTGCATGGTGAGTGCAGAGAACCGGAGACCCTACTCGTACTTACTGGAAACGAGGCATTTCATCTTAGTCCTCAGGTGTGAAAAAGCATCTGTATTCTGATCAAGGGTGGATGCTGTGGCCCATGCACATCTACGGCCATGGGCTACAGCATCCACTTACCATCAGGTGGACTGTGTGCTCGTTTGTCACCCTTATTCTATAACAAGTAAATAAAAAAAAGATGTATGTATTAAACATTGTAATATATATGAATCAGAATGACATAGTGAGAAATTGTTTAATAAGAGAAGAGTATGGTTTGCAAGATGATGTTGTGACTAGGATTAAGAAAGGAAGTAGAAAGAATGAATGAGGAAAGAGCGACAAAGCAAATTTAAGTTGCAGAGGTGAACGGCATAGTCAGGAAGGGTCGCCCTAGGCGAAAGTTTATCGACCAAATTGGCGATATATTAAAAATGGGCCAAATCAAGAGTACCTTTAACCGACGAGCGTGTATGCGTAGGTATATGGATGTGGAGGAAGCGAGAGAGGTGTGTCAGGATCGTGCCAAATGGAAGTCCATAATCTCTGCCTACCCCTCTGGGTAACAGGCGTGAGTGTTTATGTTTTTATATATATTACGTTTTTTTTTCATATTCTTATGTCATCCGATTCTGAGCTCTAAATGTCTAAGCTCATCGGGAAATTACTTTAACATCATTTGCTAAATTCGGCCCGATGAAACATACACGAAAGCGGGTACATAAAAACGAGGTAAAACAAAGAAACTGGCCAAGTGCGTGTCGTGCCACGCACAATGTAGAGGTAGGGTTCCGTAGTTGCCGGTCACAATACGTGGGCTTTGTTGATAATGAACACAATAAGTGAGTTCGCGGTTTGGTAAAAATGGGCCCAAATAGGAAGATGGTAACTGAAGAACTTGTTTTCAAATCAGCCTTATAGGGAGTGCTATTCAAAAAATATTAAATAATTTCTTTTTGATTTAAAAATAAAATAATACAATTTACATCAAATCATTCACATGCCAAGGTACAAAGATGATCATAGTTGGCTATCTATCTATATATTACTAGCAGTGCGACCCTAAGATATACATATATGATCGTAACGAAACTTCACATAACCCACCACTGCCCTAAATTATCCTGAGGTCACCCACTTGAACCAAGAGTGTGACGAATGAAACTGTATGAGGCTATATGATTGTATGAATACTTTGAATGAGGCCTACAATAACAACAAACTAAAAAAATAAGTGACAGTAAAGCTATATTAGGAATGCAAATAAGTCGTTTTCTACATAAAATGTTTAGTTTTCAGTTTACAATAAGATTAAAAAGTTACAATGCAACTACATTAAGGTCATTTTCTATGGAGTTGTAATGAAATTTTTACTAATCTTCTTAATTCTACTTAGCTGTGATAGCTTTTTTGAACTTCATTATATATATTACTATAGTGTATACTTTTCACATTTCCAAAAACAGCGGCTTAGTTGGTTGGGGGGACATGCCTCTAATGAAAAATACCACTTTATTTACTTACTAATATTAAAGCTAAAGGACCCCTGAATCGAAAAGATGTTGTTCCACACCTCCAGTGTTTTGAAAGACCTATCCAACGATATCCAACACGATATAGACGGGTAAAAAAAAATCATCCTTCATTTACTTGTATGGGAAATACCCAAAATAAAAATGTTTTTCAAGATTTTATTTCACAGTTTTGTAGGCGTGATTGATATCTATAACTGTGCCAAATTACAGATTTGTAGCACGTAGGGTCTCTGAGTAAAACCGCGGAAGGACAGACATAGCGAAACCATAAGGGTTCCTTGTTGTGTAACTACGGAACCCTAAAAAGATAATATTTTACCTTGTACCATAAGCCGGCTGCACTTCGTGCGGGTTCCTTCGATCGGACCAGAAGAACAGCATGCGGTCGAATATAGGCGCGATGTCCGCTACCTGATTCGTACCTTCGGGGAACACCCTGCAAATACAGGAAACAATAATGAATTTAATAAACGGAATGTTTTCGAGAAACATTTTAAATAAATACACAATTTTTACAGACTTTTTGCTTGATACAAGAACGTGTTGTTCTTTGGTTCCCAGTAAGTATCTCTATCTCTCTCTCTCACTCTTGTATAATTAATTAAACATGTAAACATTAACACTCATGTCTGCCAGCCAGGGTACGCACTAACGTAGTCTCCATTTAAGAGTACCCTTAACCGACGAGCATGTATACGTAGGTATAAGGATGTAAAGGAGACGAGAGAGGTGTGTCAGGATCGTGCCAAATGGAAGTCTGTTACAAAAATAGAAAATGTCTACACATAGGCTTCTGTTTCGTTAACCTGTAACAACCCAATTTTTTTCAGACGACAATAAAGTCAGCTGCCATAATGTTACGATAGCTCCGGGAATAAGCAAACACTTCGATCGCTGCCGCCTCACTTTCACAGCACTGAAATTCTCAATTGCAATTTTATATTTACCATGTGGAGTTTGTTCGAAGAGAGTTAATAAAAAAGCAGGAGTCATTACAAATGCAAATCATTGCAAATTATTTTTCCTGACAGACCATTGAGTTATAGAAGACATATAAATCAATGTGACAGACAGTATAAAAGCCGCCGCGCGTCCGGCTTCGCACTTGACATCAAACAATTTCGCCGCATGCACAGAAATTGACAACAAATTTTGTGCATGCGGCGATAAGCGACTTGTCACATAGAATGCGATAGTTAAGCGACAGTCTCTATTGTGAGACATTTTTATATTTATAATTATGAACTCTCACCGAACCGATTTCGGCGGCGTAGAAAAATATCGTGAAGAAAACGGCATGTCCATTTAAAAACTTTTTCGTGTGTGGCCTGACAACACGTATTGGCCCTTAAACTAATGATACGAGACGTAGCTGCTGTGGCTCGTATTCACTGACTGTTACTTTAGTTCTTTTTTTTCAACTGTACTTTATCAATAACTTATGATACTACTGTTTAAAAAGTTCTTTGTGAAGGTCAATTTTTTTTTAAAAATAATTCTTCTGTACGTGTAACCACTCCTAAGCGGCTGAACCGATTTAAGAAACTTTTTGTGTGTGTTTGAGCGGGTGCCTGGATGGTTTATATTCACAATTAGACCCGGTATGTAGCGCTTTTATCGAGATGCAGAAATCACCCGTGCGAAGCCGGGGCGGATCGCTAGTTATGAATAAAAATATTTTGACTTTAACTAAAAATAAGTTTTAATTCTCACCTTAACAGCCCCCCGCAACGTTTAACATCCCAGTCGAGATTAAGGTAGTAGATGGCAGTGATGCAGCGGCCGTCCTTGTTAGGATTGTCCACGTGCTTCACGTAATGACTGCCCGAACCAGGGTAGCAAGCCACCATTGCCTGGAAAGAAAATATTTTGTTGGTAATTATGATACAAGTATATACTTCGCCCAGTGTCATCGTGGAATATTATTACATACATATACTCTCACGCCTGTCATGCAGAGTAATCTCTGTCACCGAGCAGGTAAAAATACAGGGCCACAATTTGGCACGATCCTGACACACCATTCTCGTTTCTTTTACATCCATATATTAACGTATGCTCATCAGAGTTCTAAACCATTTTCAATATTTGGTCAATAAACTTCCATCTGGGCGTACCTACATCAACGCCAACTATAAACATAAAACACTACAGAAGCGTTGTCACCTCTGAGGATGATAAGATGGAATGCCTCACTGGATGTAATTAATTATACTGGCTTTCGATACCTTACTACTGCTTACAGTCATATTTAAGAGGACATTACCTACCTAGCTGGTACATGCCGTGTAGTGGGGTTAAGAATATCCACTACTCCATATTCCCGTGGGTTTCGTAAAAGGCGACAAAGGGAAACAGGCAGGAGATGGGCTACAGCATCTTCCTGATAACATCAAAATTACAATAAAAAAACTTCCTGGCTACGGTGGCGACCATGGTAACGGCGGGGCAGGGAGTGCTAAGAATCTCCGGTGGAGGTTCGGTTGCCACCTAAAACGACTCGACCTGGCAACATACAACGCACGCACCCTGAGGACTGACGAGAAGATCGTGGAGCTGGAAGAAGAGAAAGACAAGTTACGCTGGCATATTATAGGATTATTCGAGGTCCGAAGAGAGGGGGAGGACACGGTAATCCTCGAATCCGGCAACTTGCTCTATCACCGGTAGGGCGACCATCTGTCCCAAGGAAGTGTCGGATTTATCGTTCACAAGTCTCTCGTTAACAACGTTGTAAAGATTGAGAGTATGTCGACGAGGGTTGGGTACCTTATACTCAGAATCACCAAACGGTATTCGCTGAAGGTCATACAGGTTTACGCACCAACCTCGGCACATCCCGATGAGGAGGTGGAGGAAATGTATAAGGATATCTCTAGAGCCATGCAGTCCTCCAAAACCCACTATACGGTGTTAATGGGAGACTTAAATGCAAAACTAGGCACAAGAGAGACCGGCGAGCTGAAAGTAAAATTTGGAATAGGGCAACGGAACTCAAGGGGCCAACAGCTGGCCGACTTCATGGAGAAAGAGGGACTCTTTCTTCCAGAAGCGACCCACAGGAAGTGGAGCGTCGGGGCTTGACCCACTGGTCAAGCCCCGACGGTTCGACAAAAAATGAGATTGACTTCATTATGACGACCAGACGACAACTGTTCAGTGATGTCTCCGTGATCGCGAGGGTGAAAACTGGTAGCGATCACCGAATGGTTAAAGGCACACTGAACCTAAACGTTAAGTTGGAGAGGTCTCGTCTGATGAAGTCAACGCTTCGTCCCCATCGTGCTCTAATCCAAAGTCCCGAAATCTTTCAGCTCGAGTTATAAAACCGTTTTCAGTGCCTAGAAGACTGCAATGAAGTGGACGATATGAATGACAAGCTCGTGGAAACTGTCCATGCGGTCGGAGCTAAGTTCTGCAAGACCCGCCGCAGAAGAACACAAAAACTCTCCGATCACACTCTTAATCTCATGGCTGTTAGACGGGAGATGAAGCTACATTCTTCAACAGATTTGACAGCATACAGGCATCTGAACAGACAGATCTCCAAATGCATGCGTCGGGACTTACGCAACTTCAATACAGCTTGTATTGAAGAAGCGATCGAGCGGAGCCAAGGCTCCAAAGTCTTTGCCAGAGATCTGTCTGCCAGAAAGAGCCAACTGTCAAAGCCGAAGACCGAGTGTGGCAGCATCGTTTCCAGGACATCTTAGATTTTGAGTGAGATTGAGAGGTTCTATGGGCAGCTGTACACATCATCGTTGGAGCGACACGCAAGTGTGAGTAACGATCCAAGAGCGAGTCTTATCCGACACTATTCCGAAGATATCCCGGACGTCAGTCTGAGCGAGATTAGAATGGCTCTCCAGCACCTTCTTCAAGAAAGGCGACAACGCTCTCTTGAAGAACTACAGACCGATTTCCCTTCTGAGCCGCGTCTACGTGCTGTTTTCGAGAGTCATTACGAATCGTCTCGCGCGCAGACTTGACGACTTCCAGCCTCCCGAACAAGCCGCTTTCCGAAAAGGCTTTAGTACCATAGACCACATACATACCCTGCGGCAGATTGTACAGAAGACAGAGAAGTATAATCTGCCACTTTGCCTTGCGTATGTGGACTATGAGAAAGCCTTTGATTCCGTCGAAATTTGGGCGGTGCTACAGTCCCTTCAGCAGTGCCAAGTTGACTGTCGGTATATCGAAGTGTTGAAGTGTTTGTACAGTAGAGCTACGATGGCTATCCGAGTACAGAATCAGAGTACGAAACCTATGCAACTGCAGAGAGGTGTAAGACAGGGTGTCGTTATATCCGCGAAACTCTTCACCGCTGCATTGGAAGACGTTTTCAAGCTACTGGACTGGAAAGGATGCGGTATTAACATCAATGGCGAGTACATCACTCACCTTCGATTTACCGACGATATAGTCCTTATGGCAGAATCGCTGGAGGACCTAAGCACTATGCTCAATGACCTCAATACTCAATAGTGTCTCCCAACGGATAGGTCTTAAGATGAACATGGACAAAACAAAGATCATGTTTAACGTCCACGTCACACCTATGCCGGTAGTTGTTGGGAGAACTAAGCTCGAAGTTGTTGACGAGTATGTTTACCTAGGACAAATAGTCCAACTAGGTAAGTCCAACTTCGACCGAGAGGTCAATCGACGGATTCAACTCGGCTGGGCAGCGTTCGGGAAACTACGACACATCTTCTCGTTGGACATACCTCGAAACCTGAAAACGAAATTGTACAACCAGTGCGTGTTGCCAGTGATGACTTACGGATCTGAGACGTGGTCCTTCACTGCTGGCCGTATGAGGGAGCCCAAGGTCGCTCAGCGAGCTATGAAGAGGGCTATGCTCGGGCTTACTCTGCGTGATAAACTTAGAAATTAGTATATCCGCAGAAGAACCAAAGTAACCGACATAGCCCAACGGATTAGTAAGCTTAAGTGGCAGTGGGCCGGCAATATAGGTCGAAGAACCGACAACCGATGGGAAGAAAGGTTCTCGAGTTGCAGCCTCGTACCGGTAGGCGAAGTGTAGGGCGACCCCCCACTAGATGGAGTGACGACCTGGTAAGACATTCAGGAAGTCGATGGATGCAGGTGGCTCAGGACCGTGCTTTGTGGCATTCCTTGGGGGAGGCCTATCTTCAGCAGTGGACTTGTGAAAGGCTGTAATGTTGATGATGATGATGATGATGATAGTTTTATTTTTTCCAGTATTATTCATACACACAGTACAATAAACAACCATTATTAATAATACCACGTTTTTACATTAAAATATTCAAACTTGCAACTAACAAAACAAACGTTCGTTGCACTGACCCTGAGGTTGTTGTCCACTGGCTGTGCTAGCGTAACCGGTTTTTTCCAGTCTCAACGTGGTACTTGTAGGAGTGCAACCGATTCGCGCGGTTGTATGAAGCTTTATCTCTGTTCCGTTTATTTACGCATGTGGGTACGCGATAAGCGGCCAGTGGTCACGCACACATGCCCCGCGTTCTTGTAGCAGTGCAACCGATTCGCTAGGTTGTATGAAGCTTTATCTCTGTTCCGTTTATTTACTCATGTGCCTACCTACAACCCACAAATGAGGGTTTATGAGTGTTCTTAATCGTACCAGTTGTGTAAGTAAATCTTTGTTAGTTTTACTGGGCATGTAGCGTCGCTGTCCTTTTTAATTAATTTCAGTTGCTATTATTTCCCTAAATAGAAGTGGATCATGTTCAGAAGTCGACTATTACAGAAAAAAGTTAAAGGAGAACGTTCGTTTACAGCTTGTGTATAAAAAACGTTGTACATAGGTTACATAGCATTCGGTCAATGACAGCAAGAACTAAATACCTCCCTTTCCTTTTATGTTATGACGGCTACAACAGTTTCAAATAGATATTATTAAAATGAACTACATTTTTATTAATTACTCCAACCAGTGTAATTTCCTTAACACGTGATTCGCAAATTCGTTAAAATACGTATGTGTTTATTAATTCATTATTAGCAGATAAACAGCCAACTCTTCACTGACAGGACGATACAACATGCATTATCTAGCGTAGGACTAGAAACATATATGTTTGATTTACGCTTGTGTTATTGAGGAAAACGTTCAATAATATGTAGGTACCTACTAGAGATTTTATTATACCGTAATACTTGAATAAACTAGTGGCATAACTTTAGTCACGATTTCCGAACGAAATGCATTAATTAGTTTCGCTGTAAAGATTTATGTAACGGCAGCATCTATATCTTATAAAGTTGGAGTTGTAGGTACACAAGACGGTTTTCTTTGTTAAGCTTTTTCAATTCATGCACTTATTAACGTTTAAGCACGTAACGCATCTAGCGTTGTTAATGTACCTACCTATAGAGAAAATTAAGTAGATAAAGCTAATACAATATAAGATAATACATTAAAATATTTATCCAAATGTATGTCTAGACGCCGGCAACGCATCTGCGATTCCCTCACTGGTGTTGCAGCTGTTCATGGGCGGCGGTAGTCACTTACCATCAGGTGAGCCGCATGCTCGTTTGCCCCCTCTCCTATAAAAAAAAACAAAGTTCGGTTACCTCTGAACTTAATCGTAGTAGTAAGATAAAATAAGAAAATACCTATATCGTATACACATTCAAAAAATAAAGTCGAACTGCATAAAATGAGGATAAAAGTTGAACTACAAAAAGGGATTCCCCGACGGCATACGACCGGTTTCAGACAGATTATGGCAAATATGTGCAAGGTTGGCGCAACATAACTGGTCCGCGTGCGCCAGATAATCGTCTTTCCTACTCCGTTTATTTATTAATAGACTTATATACTGCTGAGTGTGGTAGT